AGCTGCGGACATTAACTAAAGACAAGGAAGGTACATAGCACAAGGCCTGGCACGTAGGAGGCGCCCAGCCCTGTTAGGGCCCTCCCGTCCCCCTCTCGCTGGTTCCCGGTATTCATCTGCTCGTCCGAGACTGCGGACATTAACTAAAGACAGGGAAGGTACATAGCACAAAGCCTGGCACGTAGGAGGCGCCCAGCACTGTTAGGGCCCTCCCATCCCCCTCCTCTTCCTCGCTCTCGCTGGTTCCCGGTATTCATCTGCTCGTCCGATCCCTGAAACAGTCTGAGTGAAGTCTGCTTTTGATGACCAAGTTAGGAAGGAGGAAAAGGAGGTGAAAACTGACTGCGGGTGCTGTCCATTGTCCTCCTGCTTGACATCAGTCTTAGGAGATACGCTTGAGCGCTCTGTCTCTGCGCTCTCTCTCTACCTTGCTCTCGCCAGCGAGGAGGACGTCCATTGTCCTCCTGCTTGAAGGATCTCCTAAGACTGATGTCTTAGGAGATACGCTTGAGCGCTCTGTCTCTGTGCTCTCTCTCTACCTTGCTCTCGCCAGCGAGGAGGAAGAAACGCTCTCTGCCTACCCCGTGGTAATTCTTCTATCACTGGGACCAAAGGATGAAAAAAAAAAATTATGATCATGTTTCATGTTCCATAACAATGGCAACACATTAGCATAAAACAAGGCATTAATAAGGCTCATGAGAAAATAATGTTACTTCTCCGCTTTAGATATGGCTTTTCAGACGCACACAATGACAAAAACGTGATGAGCGGTTGCATGAATTTATAGATGCTACTGAACCACACGTTAAACTTGCATCCTGCCTAGATGCTCCTATTTAAACTCAAACTGATTTTTTAGAAAAACTAAGCTTTATAATAAGTTGTCTTTCATTTAATCAGGGAATAAAATTTCTTAATTTACGTTTAATTCTTGCTCATTGGCACTCTCCTATGAAAGATTATGTTTCATCTGTTTACGTATATTACAGAATACATGTTTATGATCTTGTTTTCAGAACACGATACTTTAGGACTTTCAACATGTGTATGTATTTGTTATTATGCAAAAAAGAGGCACCGTAATTTATTTTTTCAAATGGTAACCTGGCCATGATACACTGCAGAGCTTCTTAGGGAAAAACATTCCATTTCTTTTTAAAATACAACCAAGTCAGTAATGAACGACAAGGTCAGCATGGGGGCTGGCCAATCTTTCTTAAAGTGTCATTCACAGTTATAGAACAACTCCACATCACTTCCTGCCTTTTCCTTTGCTTGGCTCGGCTTCCCAGGACATAGCCAGAGGTCTCGAGTTCCATGCTCTGCTCATCTTTCTCTCTCTACTCTTCCATTCTCTCCCAGTGAAAAAGTGGTAACTGCCAGGCGTCTGGCTGAAACACATGGTTTATGGCGGGGACATACTCACTGTTTGACTATGAAACCGAAAGCACGTGCACGAAGTGGCTGACAGCATGTCGATCAGACAGCAGATGGTGCTGGACCTGAGCTTGGCGAATGGACCGTACAGGCATTTAAACCTGTCTACCATTAATGCCCGTGCTTCTGGCACACCAGGGTCACTAACTCTTAGATCCTTTTCACCTTCCACAAACGATGCCCTGGAACAGAAAAGCTCTGATCAAATCCTCGTAAGAATGGAAAGAGAAACTCAGGATCCAGTGAGTATCTTCCCCCCCAACCCCTACTGTGATGCTGACTTGAAGACCTACCACCTGCTCTTGCACAGTTACTGGAGAGACACAGTTGCCATGAGAGAATGTTCTGGCGTAGGCCCTAGAGACCTTCAGGAACCTGTTTGTTCATTTACATAACGGGATAGGTAAAGAGATGAACTGCTCTTCAGAATCAGGCCACAAAAAAAATCCCTCAGGGAATGGTGTCATGGCCGACCACCTTAAGGAAAACACATTAACGAGAATTGAGGTCCTAATTTAAGTCCTGTTAAAATGTCAGCTGAGAGTTTCTCATTATTAGGACTATAAACTCAAGCCAGGCTGTTTCAATCTGAGTCAGCCAAATGTAAGAACAACTTGTCCATATGCTTCTTTTTCAAAGAACTTTATTCATTCAGCCCCAGGCTCAGAATTCGATAACATGTTTTTCTATGGGCCTTTTTTCTCTTCACATCAAACAATATTAAAGAGGAAAAAAAGGCGGGGGGGTATCTAACTACTCCCATATGTATCCTCACAAATGGCCAAATTGAATTACTTACACTTTCCTTAAACACACACACTGGTTCCCGATCTCGCACACGTGCGCGTCGACCCTCCAGCAAAGCCCTCCCCAGACTCCGCCGTCAGAATCCCACCCCCTTTTTTGAAGCCCACCCAAATGTCTCCGCCTGTGTGTGGTCTGCCATCATCATCACCCCTGTCAAAAGTAATACTGCTCCCCTAACGGTGTGATTGTGTCTTTTTTGAGGCACTTTTCACATAAAGCTTGTGTTGTAAGCTTTTGCGTAACTTCTCTGTTGATCCTGAGCATCTCTGCCACAGTCGCGTTGCGTGAATCTGCCTCTTTACAGAGATTCTTGCAGTGTCCGGAATGTTACAGGTGCTTCAAAGTATTTTGCTTCTTGGCGATGAAAAATTGGGGAAGTAGAAAAGTTAAAGGAATACTTAACAGATATACTTGTGCCCTATGTCCTGCCCAGTCTGACCTGTAGGAGCTCTCAGCTTCCCATCCCCGAGGGTCAGAAGTCTGTGGTGTATTTACTCTGGTGTTAAAACGCGTGGAGTTAATTTTCAGTGAGAAAGCTTTATTTGATTCATTTCTTTTAATGAAGAGTAGTAATTTATACTCAGCGGCGTATGCTTATTTTCATGAAATAGTTTTTCACAAAGAACTTTGTCACATCCATCTTTTTACCTGGCTGCAGCTGCCTGGGAGAAAACGAATTGCTCTCTTAACTTTTACAGCCTAAAAGATTTCTGATGCCCAGGGCTTATTTTTCTTCTACTGCTGCTATTTCTTTTCCCTTTCTCTTTTTCTTTTAACTCTCTTAATGAGTGCTGCTTCCTGGTCCTGAGTCAGCTCTGAGGCACCGGCAAATTACTCGCATTTGCTTTCAGCCTTGGAGAGGGGTCAGAACTGCTGGAACTGCTTCTCCTCGGGGCTGGGGCTGACTGTGAAAGTTCCCATTCTCCTCTCTTCCTCTGATTGGCTCCCGCGGTCACGTGAGGGCCAGAGGGTTGGAATTCTGACTTGTGGCTTTTGGCACTCCTATTTCTTTTTAAAAATCGCTCGGTCTGTGGAGTTCTGCCGAGCTCGGTGCCTTGCTCTCACTGGAGACAGACGGAAGCAGCCACAAAGCAGACTGAAGTGGCAGAAGAAAATCTGCCAAGATGTTCGGTCAGGGACCCAGGACCCCAGCTTCAGGCTGCTACTATCTAAATTCCATGACACCTGAGGGCCAGGAGATGTACTTGCGATTCGATCAGACTACGAGGCGCTCTCCTTACAGGATGAGCCGGATTCTAGCACGCCATCAGCTAGTGACTAAAATTCAACAAGGTGAGTTACCGGCAGTGGAAGGCTGTTGCTGATCAATTTCTCTTGGCTCTGTCTCATGCGAACCCAGTTTTGTTAAATTGCTGTTTTCACTGTACAGTATATGGATTTCTATGCCACGTTGCACGTAACTTTTAGAAATAACTTCAGGCTACAGTTTTAAGCGAACAGTGACAGCACTTAGCTGCCACGTAACTCAACATAAAGTGCACAAAAAAACTCACGGCAGGACGGTGAATTGTAAATTTCCAAAAAAAAAAATGTACGTGTGTCTACAGGTTTAGTCAGTGTGTATTTTAGGAGCTTTTCTGCAGGTCATTCACACTCTGTCACATTTAAAACGTGGACTCTTGTTATTGAATTAAGAGGGCGGGGGAACTGGCCTCCACCCTGCACAGACTCTTTAGAACATTCTTAGTGACTGGGGAAAGTTAGAATTCTATTCTTAAGGCCCTTCAGGCTGACAACCAGAATCACATTCTCTGCCTCTTTGTATGTTTATGTCAGTAATTGCCTCTGATTTGTTGATATTGTTTATCTGGTGAAGGATAAAACCTGTCCTCCAACCTCAGAACAAACCTTGTGACTTTTGCACAAAAGCACCAGCTTCGCGTGGTGAATATATTGATTGATTACAAGCTGCTAGATGTTCCTTTTTATTCTCAAGGAAAAAAAAAAAAAAAAGCCAGCAGCCCGGACATCACTAAAATTCATCATCATTGTCCAAAAACTAGTTTAAATAGGTCTGTAGAAACTGCACGAGACAGGTGACCATTCCCGAGACGTCTCTAACTGGTGCCCATTTAAAAGACACACCCACGCACCCACATATATACAGTAAGTTCATGCAGTTTATGACCTCCCCCCTCCTGGACTAAAAAAAAAGTAAGTTTTTATATTGGTGATTTTCTAGAGCCATTATACAAACAAATTCTACTTCAATAAATGAGTTTAAGATTATATCGAATTCTAGAGGGGAAGTTGAGATTTGTAATCATGAAAATCTTATTGTAATGTTTCCAAAAGGAACAATACGTATTCTAGTGAGCAGCATCTGATGAGATTGTTTCCTTGGAAATTGGGATTTGTTTGTAAAGGTTCAGGAACTGGTTATGTGTGAAGGATACTGATCCTACATACCGGTCTGATTTCAGGAAGGATATTATGTCATTCCATAAACTGTGTGCAGGTCTTGATTGAATAGAAACAAAAGTAATTATTTCCCTGTAGCTTGATTTAAAAATACATCAGGCTTAGAATAAAAACCAGCTCCATTTTTGTTTTAGAGATTTCTGACAGTGGTGCTTTACCAGATGCCATCATCATTATGGACACAGGGGCTTGATAAATGTTTGTGGATGATTTATGATTTATGCTCTGTATACACTCGGCATGCATACAGAGTGTATTATGTTAGAAACATTGCATAGCAATCGTTTGAAATTGCTTTGCAAAGTTCTTTAAATGTATTTACTATAATTACCTTCACTAAAAATTATTTATGTCTTTTTTGGAACTAAGGACTTGAAGTTATGAACATGTGCATGATCATTGAAAGTGTACTCCGAGTTTGTTTCATTTTGCCTAATAAGAAAACTTAAGCAATCTCACCTTTTTGTATTGGGCAGTGGAATGTTTGAAGCCTATGAATGTCTAAAAATTAAAAGCGAGACTTGTGATCACAGGAAAGCATGAAAGAATTCCAATAGTCCAGTGATTCGGAACTCATTTGTTAATACCGTTCAGTTGTATAGTAAGACATTGAGAAAGCAGAAGCAAAACAGTTTTTACTGGGTTTACTATATGATTGATTGGTTTACTGTAATAGTAGAGAATACTGATTGAGCATTTATAATGTATCAGCACTGCTCTCAGAGTTTTCTATATATCTCAGTTTACCTTATCCGCACAAAAATCTTTATAGGTAAGTACTATTAGTATACCCATTTTAAAGGTGAGAAGACAGAGGCACGTAGAGTTCAAGTAACTTCTCTGAGGCTACATGGTAGGAGCTGGTATTTGAATCCGACTCTAAAGCCCATGCTGCCTAATGCACTAAAATGCTTTTTATTTTTTACGGTGAGGGTTAAAGTACTGAACCTATGGTTGATTTTTGAATTATATAATACGCCAAAGACTTTTTTTTTTTTTCTACTCAGGATACGACAGTGAACCATGTTACACAGTCAGAATTGGGCACTCACTATGATGTTTCCAGTCCGTTTTTTTTTTCCCCCCCAAGCGGAAGCAAAATGCTATGTGTTTTACCTTCTGTGAACAGTTAGTCCCCAAGAGGGCGTGATGTCAAGTTGTTTTACTAATGGCCTATAATCATTCAGTTAAAGCTTATCTAGTGCATATTAAATTAATAACACTGCTATTTTTTTTGTACGTATCGTTCGCATATTGGTATCTTGAAATGACAGCCACATCTGTAAAATCGTTTGCATTGCTCTGCTATAGGTCTTTTAAGGAAGATTTAGCATTCTATTAATATAATTTGGGGCACTGTTACTTATACTCACAGTCTCTCATGGTTGTCGGGAACAATGCAAACAACAGTAAGTTGCTCCCCACTGACCTCATTACAGTGAGGTAAGCATCGAAGGCATGGACATGATTCAACAGCAGATACACTCATGGGGAGGAAAAACACGGAGGAGAAATAAAGGAATCTTTGATGATGCATAGGATCAGAATTTGCAGCCCAAACCCAGGATGAATCTAAACTTGCTCATCTTAGGGTTCGCTCCAAACTCTACGGGCATCATTTCTCTAGCTTTCTTTTCATTTCTGGAGTTTTAAGTCCAGTTAAAGAGAGAAGAGATATTGAAAATAGAGTGTTTGCAAAGTGAACATTTACCATAAGTCGCACTGCCCATAATTCCTATCCTCCAGTCTTGCTGAATCAATGGGGGAATTGTTAGGGAGAGAGGATGGAAATAATAATGGTCCTTATCTCCCTCACTGGCAGGCCCTTGGGGTCAGACAAGAGGGGGGACCTTGAGGAGGTGGAGGAAGAGCGCTTTGGCCATGGGAAGAGAGAATACGAATCTCGTGTCATTATTTGATGGCTACGATTTATTGGCTATATGTGTGCCATGCTTCAAGTCTATAGCCACGTTCAGTGCTATTTGAAAGATTCAAAGCTAAGCAGATCTATAAATACGATTACTTGCTTGGTGAAAGAATTCATCATGCTACTAAACGTTAAAAATATATATATATATATTTTTTAAATGCATAAAACAGCATGATGTGGACCAGACTGCCGTAAAGTGCACTGAATCAGAAATAAAAGGAGACGGCAGGCAGGCTCTCTTGAGATGCTCTCTCGTTCTTTTACTGTGATACGTTTCGGAACTTCACTGGGCCTTTGTTTCTCGATGAGAAAATGGAATGGCTGGACTGCGATCGCTCAGGTTTATTCTGGTTCTGAAGGTCTCTTCGTAGTTGGGTCAGTGACTCCTTGAATGAAGGGTGCAAAGTAGGGGAACGTCGACCTACAGCCATAGAAGCCGAAAAGGAAACAGAGTAGCTCTCTCATGTGGAATAAGTCAGTGGTTTATCATTTTCCTACAACCTGTCAAGGAAATGGTCAAGTGGAAAGGAAATTTCAGTTCTTCCTCCGCCGCTTATACCTGTGTGATCTGTATCAGGCCACAACTTTTCTGAGCGTCCTTTCTTTCTTTCAGAAAATAAAGAGTTTGGATTACATAAATGCAAAGTCCCCATATCTCTAAAATTCTAGGGTTCTGTGACCACGGTTGTTACTTTATGAGAGAGACAGTAGTTCTTATTTACGTTTTGCTTATTATGTCCCTTAACATCTACCTGAACATTCTTTAATACTTATTTAATGCTCTCATCATCAATTTAATAGGGATGTTAAGATGTCCGATCTTGTGGACTATTTAAATGTCAGTGTAACCTATAATTATTAAGAACCTTCTAAAAAAACCTTTGTTTCTCAGGAGTCCAGGACTCCGAAATGGAGTTATCGTGAAGTGTGGCCTATGACAAGGACTAGGGGGCGGAGGAGGTCTGTGTAGGTGTACCCCCACTTTCCACAAAAATACGTCTTAATAGAAATGCAGACTCTAGAAAATTTCACCAGGAAGAGAATTAGTGAACATTAGATTTGCATTTTTATTGACTTTTTATCTGAGACTATTTTTAGAGATAGCACCTGAGTTGCTTAACTAGAGTGGAATAAAGCACCATACTGGTGTTCCCAGGGAATGGGACTGGGCTAGCGTGGCAGCCTCTCTTGTGACTCAGTCAAGTCAAATGGCATCTTGGGAGATTGCCCAACCCAAGTGGCGGCATTGCTCATCCCTCGTGGTCGAATCCCCTACCAGCTGGGTAGCATCCACTGAAATTAAACAGTCGTTTGTTCTTTTGGAACTGACCTTTCTCTGTCTTTAGTTCTTTCTTACCTCACTACTTTCAGAAATAGAGGGTGAATATGCTGGCAGAAAGACAGATGGAACACAGAAAACAGGACGAACATGCATTCATCATGTATTGCTCAAGTTTTTCAAAGGACAGAAATTCGTGTTTCATGAATCAGCCTCCTTCTATCCAGTGCTGAAGAGCCTGTACGTCATGGATACTGTTTAACCAAAAGTTACAGCACAATCTATTAAGTGAATGAGGTCAACAAACTGTGGATAACATTCTTTTAAATGATCACATAGTAAAAATGTGAGCAGTCAAGAAATAAGTACGAAAAGGAAATTAACAAAGAGCAACGTGCTTGTACACATATAAGACTTAAGAGTTTTTCATTAGCTAAATGGCCACTTCCATGGCTCCATGTCACTGCTTTTATCAGCTCCGATGTTATAAACACACATCCCAGATGCAGGCAGTTGCCAAATTTGGATTTTGGAACATTGGTTTAAATGAATAGAGATTGTTTTTTCTCATAACTCCCACCCCTAAAGGCATAGCTTTAATTCTTAGTAAATTGTAGATACTGGTCAACTCTCATAAGGCAAGTTGCCTCATTTTCTTAGCAACTTAATCACGGGCAGATTTAAAAGCACAAGTTAGAAAAAATAAACAATCACCCCTAGTGGTCTGAATAATATCGATTGGTGACTCAAACAAATTTAGAAAGAGAGAAAATGACAGTGGGTTTTGGTAAACCTCTTATATAAAGGGAAATAAATCGGTGGGGTTTAGGGGGGACAGGTTGTTAATGGGGACTCGTCCTGCCTGCATTTCATTAGCTGTGAGAACACGGTAGTGAGCCTGGGGAAGACGGTCCAAGCAGAAGGTAGGAGAATGTGACCCCGCATTGCACATGACACCGGATATTCGAATGAAATAAGGAGCATGTAAAAATTATCTTCTGCCTCCTTGGGGGCAATCTGAATGTGATTTCGGTGCGGGTTAAGACATATGTTAATTTTCATTCTGCCTTATTACCTATGGGATTTATAGAAGTAATTTATAGAAGAATATATATACAACTCAGTTAAAAAAAAAAAAAGAGAGACAGCTTTCATGAAAAGAAAAATGTACATCAATTAATAATATAAACCTAGGAACAGATATTATGTACAAATATAAAACGCAAGGCCCTGAATAATAATTGAAAGTGCGCTGCGTATTTAGCTGGAGCTTTTCTAATCTAAGCCTAGAGGAAAACATGATCGGGGACGGTTAGCCGTATCCACATGTTAAAAACATATAACACAGGTTTCCGTGGGTGTTGGTATTCGGGGGAATTTTCTCCCGAGAACTTGATGCAGGAGAGCAAGTTCTCATCTGAATCTCGTAAAGAGACTTCAAGCTGTAGTGGATGGTGCTTTAGACATCCCCGGGGTGGGGGTGGGGATTCAATAGCAAGCCTCTTAGTGAAAGTGGGGGTGTAACAACAGATTATAACTCAGGAAAATATTTGGGGAAGAAGTGCGTTGGTCAAAACAAGGAGGTTCGGTAGGCAATCCCCTAATTCTCCAGCTAGAAGTAGCATGGAGACGATCTAGAGACAATTTTTCCAAGTCTCCTTTACAGAACACGAGTCCCGGTAGCTATTCAGCGGGAGATGTTTCTGTGCTTAAGTAATTTTGGGAAACGCTGTATCCTCTTACCCTTCTTGGAATTTCACACTTATGAAAGCCTCTGAGAAATCCCGCAGAAAAGAGTTTAATTTTGTTGAAACTGGTATATTTCATCATGAAACCATTTTTCACCTGTTACCGGGAAGTGACATCTTTTAAAACCAGTGTTCCCCAGGGAACACATTTTGGAAAGCCTGAGTGATTCATCCAGACACGCTTGGATCCTATTTCTTGTGTGGACTGGGTATAGTAGATAGTCTGAAGTATTTTGGAGAGTAACGTTGCAAGTATTCTGTTTTCAAATAAGGACATCTCTATATACTTTAAAAATCAACTGGGGAAAGGCAGAATGGACATCTCTTTATGAAAATTAACAGCCAAAGGAAGATTCTAACCTGATTAGGTGGTTGCTGCACATTCACCAGGCAGAAAACTGAACGGTCGGGAGTAGGGGCAGAGTTAATAATTATAACGAGAGTACACCCGGTCTTCAGAGAACTCTACAGGATAGGCACTGCTGGCCAGAAGAAAGAAATTATTACTCTTTAGCTCTGGATCTCTCTAATGTGTGATAAAACTGAATTCCTAGGTGAGTTCTGAAGGGGTCTGACATTATGACAGCTACTTCAGGATAGTCCCTTTCTGCTGGAATGTGGAGTCACTGCCCCAGGGGAAAGAAATAGGAATGTCTCCAGGAATTTCAGATTCCCTCTGGCTCTAGGTGATGTGAGCCATATGCTCCTGAACTCAGGCGTTGATGGATGGCTCAGAGTCCATTTCTGACTTCACGTTCCAAGCATCTCCTTGGTACATAAAGTCTCTCTCAGTACCACAGAATAAAGCGACTTGGTCATTTTAATTAGTAAAATCTAATTACTAATTTCTTGAATGAGAAGCTAATTTGTTTCGTTTAGTTATGTAAGCAACTGATCACGTTTCCCAGGAAGATTACAGATACAAAATTAAGGTATTTTTATCTCCTGATGGCATCAGCATTTGCATTATGATTGATGTTTTTTGAGAAAAATCCACGAAATGTCAAAAAGCTCCAACAGAATGCATGGGGAATTAGCTGTACTGTCTAGTGCAAATCCTTGTGTTGCAAAGTCACACAAGACCATAGCCGTCACTATAGATAGTGCAGTCTAGGGCGGGACAAATATACAGATTACCATGAAAATTTATACACTATTGTTTGAAAAGATTTTATTTCTCTCTCTCTCTCTCTCTCTCTCTCTGAAGCTTAGAATCTAAAGGAATTTAAATGGCGTGTTTGGATAATAACTTAAAATACAGAACATGCTAACGCTGTTAGAAAAAGGAAATCGATAGAAATAAATCCAAAATGTCTGGTTAGACTGTCAGATTATTTCACTCACAAGGCATAGGAACCCTGGTAATTTGAAAGTTCTGACAGAGGCAGAGCTGACTCAAATACCAATGATTTTCATCGCCCGGCCTCCAACACTGATAAAACGCGAGGGTGAAACAGTATAGAGAGAGTGGAGATTATAAAGGAACTTGGCATTCACCGAGTAACTAATTTACATGTCAGCATTTTGAGCTGAGGAAGGCATTCTCTTCCTGAATCCCCAGTCCTCTCTTCTCGGAAGAAAAATCATACATATGGATGACAAGAACATCGGATTAATATTCCATTTCTATAAATGAACAGTAGCATTTAACATACGTTTGTCTTCACCGAATGATAGACAGAAAAAAAAGTATGATAGTCATAAAATCATATTTTCCTCTGAGTGTTTTACTACCCCCTAATTTTTCTAATATTTAAAATTACTATGAGAAATAAGAAAGATTTAGAATTCCAATGATAATGGCATTGCAACCATTCCCCGCCTCCCCAACACCACCCCAAATAAGATGAGTTCCTGATACAGAAATTTAAATCTCTCCAGATGCTTTGAAGAACACGAGACATTTCCCACTAAACGCATTTCTCAAGGTAGGGAATGAAATCCATTGCAAAGCCCTTACTGTTTGGGCCTGTGTCAAACCGCGTGTTATGTATTACAGGTTCTTAAAAATCAAAGCACCTTCGCTCACATCGATCTCTTTGGATAGAAGGGTCAGCTAACACCCCTTTCCTCAGCATTCCAGTTCTCACCGTTACTCTTCCATTCTACTTGCTGTGCTCGTAGGAGGAAGGTCTAAGGCAGATAGAGCTGCTTAAATATTTTTATTACTGGCTTCCTAGAAGAGGGAGCGGGGAAATACTTGGCAAGCAAGAAGGGAAATCAGTCTTGCAGGATAGCTTGAAGAGGACTGCGAAAGAATTTCAGTGGCTGAGTTCATCATCCGCTGTCGGGCCCAACACAGAGTGTTATGCGATTCCACGTGGGAGTGTTTGTATGTCGTCACTGGCCGCGGTGGGCAATCCACTGGGGTTGCTTGGAACAGCTTATAAAATGGTAGGGGGTTTGCTTCTTACCTGCTTGTGTGACGGTCTCTCAGCAGTTGTTTTTGTTGGCAGGATGTTGAAACCCGTGTTCTTAGGGGCAAATAATTGAAATGTGTTGATCGAATTTCAAGAAACACTTTCTTCTCTTTTATAAATAGCCTCATGGGATCCAGACTATCCCCAGGACACTGTTTGTTCGTCCACTCCCCAAACTTTCTGCATCTATAGTTTGGAAAAATTGGAGGCCTTTGGAGTTATGCAGCTTGAACTTGAAATCTAGCTCTACATCTTCCTAGCAGAGTGACCTTGGCCAAGTTACTTAACATTTCTAAGCTTCATTTCCCCCGTGGGCAAAATAGAACTAATGATAGCCACTATCTCAAAGTTATTGCAAAGATTCAATGAGAGGATATAATTAAACACAGAGCACAGTGTACATAGCATGTACAAAATACCCAATATGAGAAAATATATATATTAAACAAACATCTGTGTGTGGCACATGTACAGTGGTCTGTCTTATCCGTGGTTTCACTTTTCATGGTTTTAGTTATCTGTAGTCAACTGCAGCGTCTGCATTCAAGTCACCCTTATTTGACTTAATAATGGCCCCAGCGGACAGGAGTAGTGACTCTGGCAGTTCAGATACACCGAAGAGAAGCTGTAAAGTACTTCCTTTAAGTAAAAAGGTGAGTACCTCCCGGTAAGACATTTTGAGAGGGAACGACCAGTCACATAACTCTCATTACAGAATTTTGCCGTAACCATTCCATATTATTATTAGTTATCGTTGTTAATCTCTCCCTGTGCCTAACTTATCAATCAAGCTTTATCCTAGCGTGTATACATAGGAAAACACAGCGAAGTGGGCCTCTGTATCTGCGGGTTCTACGTCCGTGGATTCCGCCAACCGCGGTGGCCGCGTCTGTACTACACATGTCCCAACTTTTTTTCTTGCCATTATTCCCTAAGCAGCACAGTATAACAGCTGTTTTCATACCGTTTACCTTGTTTCAGGTGTTATAAGTAGTTTAGAGATGATTTAAAGTTTACAGAAGGCCGTGCATAGGTTAGATGCAAATGCCGTGTCGTTTTATGTAAGGGACTTGACGCTCCTCAGATCTTGGACAACTGTACATATAGGGTTTGGTACTATCCCAAGTTTCAGGTATTCACTGGCGGTCTTGGAAGGTATCCCCCAGTTATAAGGGGAGACCTCTGTACTGTGTCTTCAAATGAGTAAATTATGCACTCTATACCAGGTTTACTAAGGCAGGTGGATATTCTGCCACATTTTTGTGTCCTCGAAAAATAAACATCACAAAATTGGAAACCAAAGAGTTTATTTTTGTTAATCTTAAGCTGTAACAAAAACCATCGCTGCTCCCAACTGTGGTTTTCTACGTTCAGCAGTTACTCTTTTTAGTTGCCTTGAAGTGACCTGAAATGGTAGGTTTAGGCCAGGTTTCAACTCATGTGGATAAACAGCCAAGCCTGTGGACCCTACCGTCCAGCAGGAAAAGAGGCAAGAAATGGACTCGGCTCTTGGAGTCACGTGATGGGAAGCCCCAAGCTGGAGAAGGCAGCACTGGAGGGAGGCATGGGGGCTGTGCTCTCAGCAGCCACAGTGAAAGGCGGGGAGCCTATCTGTGTGGGGGCTGGGGTGGGGGTGGGAGCAAGGCCTGAGACAAGCCTCATTAACCAGTAATAGACGGTTCTATCTATATATGCTTATCTCGATAATATCTGAATGCCTATCCCAAGTTGTTGAGATTTTGTAAACCAAGTTAACTTTGAGACTTTTGTTAATTTTGTAGAAACTTTCCAGGATTCCAATGGTCTTTGCATAGAAGAGTTAAAAGGAAAGAAATGCTGTGAACTGTAGATAAACTTTCTAATAATGCCCAGTTGGCAGTTTGAAAACTTTCTCAAACTAATTCAAATTACTTAAGGAGCTTTCGTTGCCCATTTCCTCTGAGGACTTTATTCATTTTAATCGTCGAATATTCTTCTCGATTGTTGAATTCCTCAGCTCAGAAAGTGCATATGAATATGATCATTAGCATTTGCTGAAATTTGTTCTTGGCTTTGAATGGATTAAATAAACATGGATTCTTTTGCTTCATTTGTATATGAAATAAATGTAATCGTAGGTCAACCGCATTTAGGAGAGTCCCTCGCAAAGAAAAGAAACATCAACTAGTACAGTCTTTATACTTCGTAACTTAAATGCGAATCTCGAACTTTGTGAAAGCCTTGTTTCATAGGATGAAATATTTGATGTCTGCATATGGAGACCCAGAAAAGCTATTTTCATAGTGATTCCTGCAATGGTACAGTGCGTGACAGTCTGTGGAGCATTCCACATGCAGTATCTTGACTATACGTGGAAGGTCAAGGACACCTTAGGAAGCTTTGTCCTCTAAAATCTGTCCTTCAGAGACCTGACAAAAGCATATGCAAGTTTTCCCACTTCGAAATGTTTCTAATCTCATTTCCCGAGTCAGTCCTTCGTACGCATTTCCCTGGGTTTTGTCGTATGGAAAAACACACTTACCTGAGTGGCCCCTATAGATAAATATGGACTCACTTGAGGAAACAGAATAAGGAAACTTGGCAGTGGCCAATGCAGCTGTAAAACATTAACTCACCGGTAGAATAGAGATGGTTTCAGAGTCCAACTTTTTCCTTCCCCCATCCCATTCAGAGTCAGATGACTGCCTCGCTTCCGGCTTTACAGTTCAGTTTCTGACAAGGCCATTATATTTGTTTGTTGCACGTGAAGTTTCTCCTGTCGCTCTGCCTCTTCCCATCGTTGGTTACTCTAGCAGGGCTGGCCCGGGACACGACAGCTTCTATTCTGTGAAGTGTATTGCTTTGTCCCATGATGCAGGAATGACGTGGAGTTGAGACAAGTTCTTTGCGGCTCATTAACTGTCACTCATGCTTGATTGAGCCTGTGCAGCTGTGCCCAGAGGTGAGGGAGAGGCCTGCCTCCTGGGCTCGGGGAGAACACGTCCACTGGACCGCCCCAGTGAAAAGAAAAGCGAAAGTTGGGGTTCTTCCTGGAGAGGCAGGTTGTCAACGTGGTTTATTAACATTTCTGTGCATTTAAGCAAACTATTTGGGGCCGGGGAGTGGTGATTTAACTTTTTATAAATGTTAGCTTTTGAAACGTTTACACAGTTTAAAAACAGTAATAGTATACTTATCGTTTCTCTCATTTTGGGCTCCCTATTGTGTACCAGGGACTATTTTTGGCACTACATATATTGCTATTTTATTTAAATTTCATGGAGCTCTGAGAGTTCAGTTTACTCATCTGGAAAATAAATGTAGGGAGGCCTAGTGCTCAACATCTTATGATGTTCGTTTTGCAGATGAGAAAACAAAGGCTCAGGGAGTTAAAAAAAAACAACAAAAAAAAACGTTTCCTAAGTCTCCCAGGAAGTAGGTGGCAGGGCTGCGCTTTGACCTCTGGTCTGTGTCATTCTGGGCCCGCGTCGTTTGCACCGCTCCGCAACTCCGTTGCCCTGATAATCATAGGCAGGGGTGCCTACCCGGAACCGAGGTGGGCTGTCCTGTCGCGTTTCATCATTTTAGACTCGGTTGGTCCTCCCTCTCCCACCAGCCTCTCAAGTTGCTGGAGGACTTCATTGCGCCTCCAAATCCAGCTGCAGTTCTGCGTGACCATCCTACATAGTAACGCCCCTCCCACTCCCTCATGAGGACTGGCCGCTCTTTATCAAGGACCCTTTGTCCAAAGTCAATGTCAAGGCATCAGCATTCCTGCGACGAGGCATCCAGTGGGGTCAGGTAGGAACAAACGTAAGGGAGGGAAAGAAGAGGTTCCTTATCCCTGCATCCTCCCCCTCCTTCCTATGCTGCCCTTCTTTCTAGAAAGTACTGGGGGCGGATGCTCGTCCTCCCTCAGGCTTTCCCAGGCCTCTGAGGGCCCATGGACCTCAGTGGCTCACGGCATCTTCAATGTGCACCTTGGAGGGGGGACAAAAAGCCAGGTGGCAATTAGGTCACACCTGTGGTGCTCTCTGGACTCTGGATCTCGAGCTCGACAATTCTATAGTGGAAGGAAAGCGTTTCTGGAGGGATGTCCTGGATGGAGGGTTTTGGGTTTTTTTTTTTTTTTACCTCCCCCCAGCCCGATTTTGTAATTTTGACCTCAGTCATGGCTGAGTCCCGCAGACCAGAATAGTCACAGTTGTACTCTGCACTTGTAAGCTAGAGAACAGTAGCCAGTCAGAAGAAAATATCAATGTTCTGCCAACTTCTGCTGTTTGTGAAATTTTGCCAGAAGCAAAACAGGATCAAAAATAATAAACAGACCTCCTCCCTTGCTGCATGACTACTATTTACATAAAGAGATTGACGAACCGACTGTGCTCGTGCGAGTGCTCAGGGAAAGGAATGTTTAAGGAGAAGAGGTTAATTTTGGGGGGCTCAGTTGCATACGATTTCAAGTTTTCAGAAATAATTGGGTTTCCCAGGAGACAGCCCGTAGCGTAGATGGTGACACTTCACCGGGACGAGCAGCCCAAACTGTGAATAAAACACCTGACACGTGAGTCAAAACTTCTGCAGGGAAAACGAATCTTGAAAACAAAGGAACAATGTGAGGCATAAGCAGAATAGTGATATTTTTAGTAGAAAGAGACATCTGGCCGGTCGGGCAAGCGCAGGGAGCTGAAATGCGGGAGGCTTGGCTTCCGGGTCGCCTTTGTCCTAACTTAGTAACCACGGATGTTTTCACCTAACCCCTTGGCGCCTCCATTGCTTCATCTGTCCGATGTGGAGACTATCAGCTCCTGCCACTCAGTGACATCGTCAAGGAAAAACCGATGGGTGTGAAGTCAACCAAAATGGAAGGCATGGCGCTCAAATTTGGCATGGCTGAGAGATGTTAGGGCAGCTGGTTAAAGTCAACAGGCAGCCTCAATGCAGGAGCCTAAGCCGTCAATACCCAGCTCTCAGTCCTCGGCCAGACGCAAAACATCACCGTCTGTGCTTGTCTTCCTTGGATAAGAATTGATATCACTCCTCAAGGACTTGGGAGTAATGTAGTACTCTTTCTTTTCCATTGGTTCCTGAGTGAACAAAGTCTACTAATTTTTATCTTCATTTTATATTTTCCTTGTGTGCATTTACTGTGCTACGAGCGAATCTATATAATAAATTAGTGTCATTTCAAACTCCTGGTTTCTCTCTTATTTTTCTTGCATTCTGAGGTGTCAAGGATTTTACTTTGTATTTTTTACTCAGCTCATAAATATTATTTTACCCTTAAAGAATAATTTCCCATGATCACGAGCAGAAGAAAACCTTTAAAAGTGAAAGGTGCTGTGTTACAGGCTCAGGGACTTTGACAAGTTGAAGCGTCGGAGGTCCTGGCTTTTGGGGTTATGAATCTCTGATGTAAGCCGGGCTTCCGGCCCGAGGCTCACAGGCGTGCGATTTACCGCTTCCGACAGGATGGCCCGGCATGGCTGTCTAGTGGAGGCCAGCGAGAACTTAACTGTGGTTACAGCGGATTGTCTGAGTGAGAGGGGACCGAAGGGATCCGATGTCATGCTGCACAGGTTGTCTGATGAAGGAAAGACGTGCCCAGTGCCTAGGGCTGCCTTGCCTGGCACAGTCTAGTCTGGAAAGCCGTAGGAAGATGTGGTAAAAGGAACGTAGCCCTTTAAAATGCTTGAATTTTGTTTGCTAGTTTGGATATCTGTTTGTTAGCTTGTTTGTTAGCTTGTTTGTTTGAATGTTTGGGTGTGCCGATGGTGGTGGGTTCCAGGAGAAAGAACGATTATTAAGCCGAGACTTGTGGAAAATCTTTAAAAATTGTTAAGTACTCTACATATTTGGTTGTTATTTGGAAAGGCTGGGTGTCTTGAATGAAGTGGCATTTGAGAGGGGAATGTGAAGGAGAGGAAAGAGGCTTGTTTATCTAGCACATGGAATGGCTCTCCCAAACCTCTAACTCCAACAAATAGAAAAACTCCGAGACTTTATTCACGTCTTTCTTGCAGGGGGGTGGGGCTAACTTCTTTCTGCCCCCACACGTATACATGAGGCTCTGAGTTTCCCTTCAGCCTTTTGCTCAGCAAAATACATTTCTTTATTATAATCGGCTCTACTCAATGATCAGCCATTTAAATAAATTACCGTGTTTTGTGATCGACATTAATAGTTTGACATGGGAGTTACGAAGCCTTCAAATCCTTGACTTCTCGGAGAAAGAATCTTTCAGACATTTTTTCTTTGGCCGTGGTAGGCTGTGCTTTTTCTGAAACTTGTAGCTTGTGGATGCAACGTGCATTGCTTAAACGCATGGGCTTTGGTGTTATTTGGACCTAAGCTCAAATGCTGGTTCCAGCACTGATTAGTGGTGTGATCTTGAGCAAGTTTCATGACCTCTGTTAGCCTGTCGTCGCAAATAAAGTGAAAATAAAAATATTAACATCTACCACCTAGAATTGTGGGGAATGAGGTGGTGTCGCACATGCAAAGTGCCTAGCACAGAGCCAAGTCCTTACACAGGACCCGGAGTACATTAATCTAAGAGAAAGGACTGTAAAGATAGCAACATGGCCCATTAGGCTGTGGATTAACTACTTGTGGGGAAGAAAAGGAGGACCCAAGTTGGGTTAATTACATAAAGCGGAAGCTAAGGAAGGGCCACCATGACAGTGGATCCAAAATTAGAATGTCTGAGGTGTCCTCGGAGGAGAAAAAGTATGACAAGAGCAGCTTCGAAACTATGCGATATTCAACCAAGATTTTCCCAATCGAATGGAATTTACCCCTGAAAGCCGATAGTTGCCACGCTCTGGGTATAATAGGAAATATTTTTAGTCCTTAGACCGATGAGACCATCACCACTAAGTTCTGAGTATGAACTTCGACTCTGGCATAAAGTTGATGGAAACACATCTAAGTCCTAATCTTTCAAGTCTAACTTCCCCAAATGAAGCATCTTTACAACATTTGCCTCAGCAGGGCAGTCAGTTGGGAATGAATAATACATTCTCCTAACGACTCTCGACTCTCGTAAGATGTGTTAAGATAGGCTGAGAGGACGTCTATCACCCCATTTTCACCTCACTCTCAAGTTTGTAGCCTGCTCTAGAGCCTGGAAGAAAAGAGACAGCAGAATTAGTGGGACAAGATATCTTCAAAGCCTAGATTCCCCCTTGGCTTCTTTTCAAAGACGGCCTTCTAAGTCTTCTGCTTTCATCAGATTTGTTCAGCTCAGAACATTGAGTCTTGACTATCTCGTGACGCACTCACCGGCTTACAGAGAGGGAAGTACGGTCATTGATTTCCATTTTTGCAGAGAGGAGCATAGTCCTTCCCTCACAAAAATCACTGCTTGAGAACCTACTGTGTGCCAGGGGCTGTTAGGTCCTTGGGCTATAATGTTAAAACACAGTCCACCCCACAGTTTAATAGGTGGACCTGAGGAGGCGCCACAGAGTGTTGTAGGTGTGGGGATGGGCATCGTTCTGGGACAGTGGAGGCATCATGGAAGGAGTCTAGTTCCAGATGTTGTTGTCATTTTGTGTTCCATTGCTTTCACTTCGATGCCTTTGACAGGAAGTAGCCATGCCTGCCAGCACGGGCTGGTGATTCTTACTAGCTTTCTGGGGAATCCCGAGGTTAAGACATCACCAGCAGTTTGCCTTGTGTCTTCCTTAGCATCTGAATAACTAGGCTCTGATTGTCCAAGAACATGGAACTCTCTCTCTCTCTAATAAAAAATGCACTGCTGCTCTCCCGTCCTGGAAAAGTCAGGGCCTGTCACCTACAGAGAGCTCACCTGTGTGCTAACACCACTACACTAGTGTTTGTGGTTTGCTGGCGAATTTCTCATGACATCAACTTTAGTAACACAGCAGTAACTAACACAAAGATTCAAGAGAGGCCACATTTTAGAAATGAATATCACTTTTTCTGCATCAACTATACGAATGGAAAACCTAACCTAGTCAGTATTTCAACAAACATTCGTTTAAAGTCGATTGTGTGCCAGATCTTTGCTGGTGTTGTGTAGAAAGCAGAATGTGAAATATGATCACTGCCCTCAAGGAGATTAAAGTTAAGCGAGCCGGGACTTGTAAACTGTCATTAATATCAGCCATTCGAGGAAATACATGGTCTGATGACGAACAGGCTACCAAAACAGGCATTCAAAAGATGAGTGAATTTTCAGGGGAAAAGACCATCTGAGCTATGGACCTGAGCTATGGCAAGTGGCTGTGTTTCCACTGCATAAAAATCAGAAGGAGTTATTTTAAGCAGGGCAGCAGAATGGATTGTGGAGTAGGATTTGAATAATGAAGGATGTAGTTCAAGTCTGGTGAGATGCAGGTGTTGCAGGAAGTGTAGATGATAAGGTTGAAGAAGTTGATGCCAGGCTGCAGTGCACTTGAAATTTATTTGATAGGTGATGGGGAGCTCCTGAGGGCCTAGGAGTGGAGAAGCGGAAGGATGAAAGCAGCAGTTTAGAAAGAGGAATAGATGAA